ACGCGGAAATCATATTGTGAAGATGGATTTCTGCTCCTGGACGTTTAATCGGCACTCCTCCAAGTTCAAGCCAAGCTCCAATGGTGTTGAAGATCAAGCTAGGGCACTTGGAGACTCTTGTTCGCCGCTTTCTCTCTCTAGGAATCGCTCTGTCTCTCTAAAACTCGAATCCCCCTCTGTTTTGGCTGAAATCTGCTTAAAACCAGAATTTCCCGACTCGCACGGGCAGGCCGCATGGCCGTGCAGATCACCACTTTGGCCGTGTGGCTCGCAGCTTATCATTAAGTCGATCCTCAGCCATCTCGCACGGCCAGGGTTGCACTTTGCACGGCCGTGCGGATTTCACTTGTGCCCGTGCTTGGCCTCGCAGAATTCCGCACGGCCAAACTGGTCACTTGCACGGCCGTGCGGGTTTTCTGCTCTGCCCGTGTGGCTTGCTCAGCCTCTGTTTAATGCTTCGTTTCTCCCTCGTCCGGACTCCGAATCAGTCGCCGTTTGATCCCAGACGCTCGTAGTCTCGTCCTCTTTCGTTTCATAACAAGATTGCATGATTCTTTGTCCATAAAGTGAGGTAGAAATCCATTCTTCTTCAGGTCATGCCCGAGTTTCTTCTCTCGAATCGTCAATTGATCTCTCATTGACTTGAAACTTGCGCCTATGCTTCACTTTATGTGCTAGGACCTGAAATGGGACAAAGGAACACAACCTAGCATAAAATAGGCCAAAGACGCAATAATTCAAGCTCAAACAATCAAGAAACAAAGGGGAAAACATGTGCAAATACCGAGTCATCAGTGAGTTACATGGTGACATGACTACTGACATGTCAGAAGTCTAGACAATGCCTCTACCTAGGACAAGTACATTTAGCCTTTTATTATACCTAGGACTAGGACTAGGACTGTGATGTGACCACTCGACGGGTGAGACGCGGCGTCGTTTTCCCACACTCGCTAACTTGGTCAATGCTGGACTCGAACGTCGTCGTTCGGTGCTCGGGCTGTCTTTGGTCGCGTTGGTGCTGGTGCGCGTGACGCTCTTGGTGGTGGAGTTGTCGCGCGACGCTCTTGGTGGTGGAGTTGTCGCGCTTCGCGGGTGCTAGCACGCCCGATCTTCGCGTTGATGGCACTGCCGCGCTTCACTGGTGCTAGCGCGCCCGATCCTGGCGTTGATGGCACTGCCGCGCTTTACTGGCGCTAGCGCGCCCGACTCTCCTGGTTGCGGGACCGGAGTGCTTCCTTGGCGCAGCGTGATCTGAGTCACATGCCCAACAGGTTCAATGAACCAGAAGTGTAGCTGAATGTACTCAGAAGTGTAGTTATGAAAAACAACAACGAAATCACAAAATTCTGGTATCTTATACCAATTTCAAGTTTGTTAGATCATAATTGTTTTCAATGAAGTTTATGATTGAGAGATCGTGCCAATAAATTTGGAGTGTATGATATGATGATGTCCTCTCATGAGTTTCCTCTTTCGAGATTTTTCTATATATAATTATTCAATAAAAATTATTCAGAGAGAAAATGATGACGTTTATACATTTTATTTCTGTATAATTTGTGATCTTTATTAGAATCGAATTTTTCTTACAATTTCAAAGGTTTTTTTTTTTTTTTTTTGCTATTAAGTAGGTAGCTCTATGAAAGTTTGGAAGAGTATAAAGACACAAAACAAACAAAAAGTTCGTAAATAGAAAAAATATCTCCCCTTAAGATAGCCCTACCCTAACTGTAAAGGGTTTTGATAAGCTAGATGTGGAGGGTCAGTTTGCCAAAAGGATTGTCAACTAAGTGTTGGTGGCTGAAGTTTCTCTGTTTCTTCTGTTCTTGTGGCTGTCTTTCAATTTACTTGATAGGAATACAAAATCAATAAAAAGTGAGTCTCGGAAAATGATTGATACTATCTTTGATGTGTAAACTCGTCATAAATTAATAAACTAGGTTAAAATTTTTTCGTGTTAATCTCTTTATCTTCCCTGCAATTCTTGGTCGAACAACAATGCTAGCATCCAAAGAAGAATATCCAAGCAAATTTTTTTACCCAATACAACCATATAAGGGTATCTTTCATTCCTCATCACCTCAATATCAGGGGCGGACCCAAGTTAATGAAAAGTTGTGTCCAAATTTGAGGCAAAAAAATGATATAAAATTTTGTTTTAGTGGTACAAGTATTTGGGTTGAACACTGTCCTGACAACTCGATAATTTTGATCTATCGTTGAAAAATGGCATGAGGAAAAAAAAATCCAAATAGATATAGAAAAATCGCCGGAGGAAATCTACAACAGGATTAAATTCGGGATTTTTTCAGAAATAGCACCTTTTAAAAAAATTACAAAAATAGCACTCAGCCGAAAATATTTACAAAAATATCACCCTTTTTTATGGACCGCACCTTAGAGGTGCGGTCCATAATCCTGGGCCAAAACCGCATCTTGGCCAAGCGGTTTCAGGTCTGACCTACAAAAACCGCTTGGCCGAGGTGCGGTTATGGGCTGACCTAGTAAAACCGCACTTTGGAGATGCGGTTTTTTTTCTCCAAAACAAAACCGCAAAACCGCACCCCCCAAGGGCCTGATGTGGGGGAGTCAGCTAATGCGACATAGTTTGCGGTTTTCATTTGTTGGTACTTGTTATGTATGTTTTCAATTATTGTCAGAGTTAGAGCTATGATGCACTGAACTTTCGTGTTTTCAAATAATCCTCATGAGAACACTCAAGCCTTAAGTTATGTGGCTGCAAAGTAAAGAAAGCCAAGAACTTATAACTAAAATAAATACTAAAACAACACTCAATTAAAGAAACTAAGATAGAAGGGTTTCAAGTACATAAAAATAAAACATAACTAAAACAACACTCAATTAAAGAAACTAAGATAGAAGGGTTTCAAGTACATAAAAATGAAACATAACTAAAGACAACACTTAAAATGATAAAACTAAAGATCCATCTCAAGGAAGTCCCTGGGACTCATGGGGCTGCAAAGTTTTTTGGCTCCTTGTACGACGGCCGACGGGAGTGGCCATCGGTGGTTGCGGTGGCAAATATCGCTGGGTCGTGCTAGGGCGATCATCGGTGCTGTGTCGGCGTTGTTCCGTGGTATACGGCGCTTCCGGAGTCGAGCGGGGGACATCGACGCTCATTCGGTGAGGGGTAGGAGGCCACTGCTGATTTGGGCGAGGAATGGGATTGAAGTCATGATGCGCAGTCGTGGAGGAACCATCATGCCAAGTACCCGAGGATGTGGAGGGTTCGTTGAAGAAGTTTGGGCAGGGATCATATGTATGGCGAGGAACATAGTATGATGGGCGGGGATCATTGTATGAGATCGGGTTGGGATCATATGGAGATTGATGATAGCTCGAAGGGGATTGATGGTAGCTCGGGCGGGGATCATTGTATGAGCTCGGGAATCGCTCATGATGGTAGGTCAGGCGGGGATCTTGGGAGTGGCTCGAACAGGGATCTTGATGTGAGCTCGGACCGCCACCGTGTGACACAACCAAGGGGGTCGGCACTCTCCACGCCGGTAACGGCTTTATCTCGGGCTCATGAGGTCTTTCCCGAACCTTCTTGCTTTTCTTTCTCTCGTATGGTGGTGGGGGATGGGGGACATCAACTTGTACTGGAGGTGGCACCGGTGCGGGCATGGGTGGGTATCTACGATGATCACGACCTTGTGCTCTGATACATCCAAGCAGACTGTTTGTCATCCTCCTGATGAAGCTCACATCTTCATGTCTCATTCCTTGTTTCCCATGGGTCAACGCTTTGATCCGCTCGATCCCATCAGCCTAAATCACAAAAAAGGTTAGCAAGATAAGACCAAAAAAGTGACATAATGAAACAAGCAATAAATTTAATCTTATTAGAAGGAATATACTTACCAATGCACCATCGGCCGCACCCTCCGGAGTCACGTACCGAACCGATGTTTGCCGATATCTATCCATGTATGGGTCATGATACCCCATTCGACCCACACTTGTTGGAGTGACAATATCTTGAAGTTGTCGGTTCTCCCATACCGCGATCAATTCCGCCAACTTCGTGGGCCAATCGTGAGTACCTTGCCGACCATCTCGACCATGAAACGCCCTTTGACTCTCGGGGACTTCCAACGGAATGCACTGCTCCCGACCAAACTGACGAAGGCATCGATCCGGGAGGTGCCACTCCATGGTACCTAAACAAATGAGAGGGACCCTCGTGCACCATTGCCCGATATTCTCAGGGAATTGCTGTAAATGCCAATGAACGATGTTCGCCGGGTATGGATCGAATTTGATCTACAAAATTATATTAGTAACTTAAGTTAAATCTTATTGGAAAAATACATGTACTCCATGAAAAAAGTTATAGCACTTAGAAGTTTCTAGTTACCTCTCCTTTCCAAAGTCTCTCTAGCCTTCTTCGATACTCTACCAACTTATGATGGGCAAAATTGTCGCATGTTGAGGCTCCAACCCACCTTATTAATAAGATGATAATTAAAATAAGCTAAAAATAAAGGAAAATTGTGTTATAAAATCATGATGGGGTATGAGAAATTTACCTACAACCATAAGCTTCGAGTCTTAGGGGATGATCGGGAACCCAATTCTTGTCGGGACATTGGAGCGGTGCAATCCATGGCAGGTGCTCCCAAGCCCAAAACTGGACGATGAACATTGCGCCACCGACCTCCCTCACAGCTTTGAGAGATGCGTTGCACAAGTGGTGGTAGATATTAGCTAGACAAGCGAATGCCTAGCTCAATTCCCCCATCGCATCCCAACTACCAAGGAGGATCCTAAGTCATCCACAACTAATTAAATTGCTCGATTTTTTTGGAGAAGAACACTCCTCCTATCATGCCCATGAGATAGACACGAGCATATCTTTCCTTCTCCAGCTCCGGACTTTCCTCGGTTAGGGGCACCCCATCTTTTTCAGGATCGTGATGGTCCCTAAAATACTTCGTCAACCAAGTGATTGATACTTGGCCTTTCCTCAATCAACGCTTCACTTGGTTGATACTTTCACCCCCAAAACCTAAAACACTGTGGATGAAATACTGCCAACCGGTCATATCGTCACGATCCTCGCGGGGGGGGGGGGGGGGGGGGGGATCACTCACACACACCGCTTTGCCGTCGATAGGCATATGAGTTAGGATGGCGACGTCCTTGAGTGTGATGGTGCACTCTCCTTCGCGAAAGTTGAAACAATGTGTCTCCTTTCTCCATCTCTCAACCAATGCGGTAATGAGTTGGCGATCGACTTTTATGCCTAGAAAATGTCTAATCGACTCCAACCGTGCCCTTTTGAGATAGGGCAAGATAACTGGGTTCCATGGGAGCACATTGGTCGTACCCCTGTAGCGGAGTATTTGTTGTGCCTCCTAGCAAAATTTCAACGTTATTTATGATATATTAGTAACAGTTTAGTCTTATAACTAAATAAATTGAAATTCCTTATTTAATTTCAACCATTATTAAAATTATTTATGATATATAAGTAATAGTTTAGTCTTATAACTAAATAAATCAAAATTAATGATTTAATTTCAACCATTATTAAAATTATTTATGATATATAAGTAATAGTTTAGTCTTATAACTAAATTAATTAAAATTAATGATTTAATTTAGAATATAATTCTATTATAATTATATTATTAACAATCAAAATTTAAGTAATTTGCCGTTTTTCCAATATATATACATATAGTCATAAAACAAGCATACTAAATTAATTGGCATAAATAACATTCTAAATGAATAATAATTTAAGGTGATATATACATATCACTCACACACACCGCTTTGCCGTCGATAGGCAGATGAGTTAGGATGACGACGTCCTTGAGTGTGATGGTGCACTCTCCTTCGCGAAAGTTGAAACAATGTGTCTCCTTTCTCCATCTCTCAACCATTGCGGTAATGAGTTGGCGATCGACTTTTATGCCTAGAAAATGCCTAATCGACTCCAACCGTACCCTTTTGAGATAGGGCAAGATAACTGGGTTCCATAGGAGCACATTGGTCGTACCCCTGTAGCGGAGTATTTGTTGTGCCTCCTAGCAAAATTTCAACGTTATTTATGATATGTAACAGTTTAGTCTTATAAGTAAATAAATTGAAAGTACTGATTTAATTTCAACAATTATTAAAATTATTTATGATATATAAGTAATAGTTTAGTCTTATAACTAAATAAATCAAAATTAATGATTTAATTTCAACCATTATTAAAATTATTTATGATATATAAGTAATAGTTTAGTCTTATAACTAAATTAATTAAAATTAATGATTTAATTTAGAATATAATTATATTATTAACAATCAAAATTTAAGTAATTTGCGGGTTTTCCAAGATATATACATATAGTCATAAAACAAACATACTAAATTAATTGGCATAAATAACATTCTAAATGAATAATAATTTAAGGAGATACATACATATTTAAACATTTGAAATTAATAAATTCATTTAAGTACACATAAACATAAAACGTATTGGTTGTTTGGTAAGTAATTTAATCGTATTAATTGTTTTAAATAATTTAATCGAATACAAAGCAACACTCGTTAGACTCTTAGAAGAGGTATACATCTTCTTAGAAACGCAGCCTTTTTTACAGAAAAAGGGGGGATCCGAAGATCTCTTAATACCCGATTTTCCCAGGAAATGGGAGGATCATGATAATCGCTTAAAACCCCATTTCCTTAGATGTGCATCTCTTTATAAAGAGTCGAATTAAGTGTCGCTATGTATTCGATTAAATTATTGAAAATAACCAATACGATTAAATTATTTCAAATTTATTTTATATTCCACTAAGTACATTAGCAAAATAAAAGAAAGATAAATGATGAAGAATTGTATGTACCGGGTGATCGTTCCAAACATCCCTTGAACGATGGTTGGGTTGGTCATACAAGTCGATCGGATCAATAGGCCCTTGATCCAAATAGTACCGTTGGTTGTATATATTCACGTCGTCCTCAACCTACGAGAGAATAACAACAAGGTTAGTACATATATTAATTAAAAATCTTATAACAAAAACAAAAATTGATCAAAATAATGATTACGTACCGCTTGAAATTCATCATAATAAACTCCCTCTCCTTGGAACCACTCGTCCATTTTCTCGCGAAAGTCGGACAGAGATTCGGCGGGCGGGTTTTGAGGGAACCAAAGAAATGTTTTCTGATGGCAGATCGGACTTAGCCGCAACCAACAGACCACTATTTCCTAGGCTTTGGGAGGGGAGGGGATGGGTTAGAGAGCTAATTCTAGAGAGAGAGAGAGAGTGGAGAATGGTTGTGGTGTGAAAAAATGAGAGGGGGGAGGGGGTATTTATACCCATCAGACCGCACCCTCAAGGGGCGGTCTGGTACTTTTTCCCCACTCAAAACCGCACTTTCTCGGCGCGGTTTACGCTCCCCGAAGGTTGACCGCTCCCTGCCGCTGCGGTCTGCGATCCATGGCGCGGATCGCTGAGGTGGCAAGCGGTCTGTCGCTGGATGGCAGCTGGATCCTGCGACCTCCAAGGCCGCTCCCGGGGAAATACAGACTGCACCTTCAAGGTGCGGTTCCCAGTCTGACGTGGCGCAAAACGCACCTACAAGGTGCGGTTTATACATAAAACGCATCTGGAGGGTGCGGTTTACATAGAAAACGCACCTTGGAGGTGCGGTCCATAAAAAAGGGTGCTATTAGTGTAAATATTTTCGTCTGGATGCTATTTTTGTAATTTTTTTAACATGCTATTATTGAAAAAATCCTATTGAATTCATATTCTTTATATCATCTCACCAATCCTCTAAAAGGTCTCTTTAAGCCACTAATGTGCTATGGAAAAAAATTGCTCGCAAACGGGCCTTGTGACTTGTTTTATAATCTCTTGTGGGCTTTTATTTTTTTTGTGCTTCTAGTTTTTAAGCCTAATGGGCTCAGCTTGTTGCGAAAGCCCATTCGAAGAAATAAGAGAGACATCCAACTAATAAATGAATAATTTCCGTCGTCTTCTTCTTTGTTCAGCCATCGACCCTTAGATTTATTCAATGAGGAAGGAGGTGATGGACAGGGAACATGGGCAAGTAAGACAAACCTAGCTTAGCTAAGAGGATCATCTTAACCCTCTTTAGGGTACAACCTAAGAATTAATGACAAGATAATGGTGACTAAAGGGCTAGCTACACCATATTGATCCCTATGATCTGTCTTCTCAGCAAGTACTGAAAACCCATCAATTCATCCACTTTCCCCACAAATTGATTTATCATCTATCACACTAAATAACAGCAGACACTATTATTATGATTATTATTGTTATTATCATAAGTTCACTGCCCACATGCTGAGAAAAAGAATAATGGACGTAGATGTGTAGACATTTAGATATTAGCATGGTCACATTCCAACTGTTCCATTACCTAGCTAGGTTTCTAGCCACTACTGCTTTCATCTTGTTTAAGGGGTTATAATAATTTCTTTGGGACCAATTTATACACCGTATCCATTATTGAACCACTGCCAACAAGAATCAAATGGTTTTTGATATGGTGTCAGTGCTTTCAGTGTCTGAGAGATATTGTGTTTGTATCTCCACGACCTCGTTTGTTAAGCACATGGTATATTCGGACTTGTGCAAACTTCAAGCCGTTATGCGTGATATTCGTTTGAATGGGGCATTATTAGTATCATAGTATGTAGTATAAGATCCATTATTGACATGCACTCTCCCAACAACTCGAGTTATTGGGAGCGAATGTATAGTACTTATGGCGATTGATCGATGATGATGGCAAGTCGACAATCCATGAAACCCATTTGCAGGCACATCATCTCTCCGAAACTTTTCTTGGTGTGATTATATGCATATATATTCAGGAGATTGCTTCCATATATGATTCGACTTTTTACGATCGATATGCTTTTATAGTTAATTGAAGGCAACCAAGCAAAAGGGCAAAGCCCAATTGCACCACTCGATCGATCCCCCTCCATGTTTTCACAGAATATTCACTGCTAAAGTGCCAATTTATATAGCTAGCATGCAGCATGACTATGAGCTAGCTAGCACAATTATAGCACCACAGCAGACCAGGAAAAAAAAACCCATTTTCTTTTGTGTAAAGGCAAGAATCTTTTCTCATGTTCATTGTTCCCCCGACCTCTCACTTTCGCTATTAATCACTCAATCTTTCTGAATAATAGATTTGATTATGTTGAGGCCCCACATCCATAATCAATCTTTTATAAGATTGATTCGTATGCATGAATTGTATACCGTCTATTGGTTAAACAGTCACACACACCTGCATCAATACGATCATGTAAAATTACGCGATTCTTAGATATGAGACTGTTTACTGGCTATATATATGCCAATTTGTTATATACTTGTGAAAAAGATGTATATTTCAAGCAATGCAACTTGATGAATTAGGTCTGAAACTTGGTTTGTCTTGAACTATAGTTAGTTATCATGGGTAAGTCCAAAGAAGATAAGTCACATGGATGCATGTATGGGAGAAATAATATACATTCATATATACCCAAATCTTGCAAAATCTTCCTTTTTATCTTATACATATACTTTAAGCAAACTAATTGTCAAATTCAATTTGCCATATAAGTAGCTTTTTCTTATACATCATAATAATCATCATCCCTCAAGACCTTAATAATATTATTATGATCATTCCTCAAGACCTTAATGTCAAATCCTTTCTAGAACGGATACAAAAGTCTGATCTATAATATGCATTGCTCTTTTCTGCATTTGCATACGCCAAACCCTAATCTCGAAATCATCACAAAATCTCCCCAAACGCGAGGGGTAGGAACAAAGTCGTACACTCTTTCTCATCATCTACAATCGCACCGAACCAAACATATCATCCATACGCAAGAGAAATAAAGCCTAACTTAACCTCCAAAGGTACACAAACAAATCAAATGGGGGGCTATAAGAATTGAACGGGTGTAAACAGAAACACGAATCATGGCATGTTTAAAGAAGAAACCGAAACTATTGGGTATATGCATGAATAAATGAGTTCCTTCTCAAGCTAGCTAGGGTTGTGGGGAGAGAGCCGACGACATTGCAATATGGGCGAAGATAAGGACCTAACAATTAACAAACGTCACGATGCATGATGAAGATGGTGATAGTATAAAAAAGCTACAAAGGCAAAGCCAGCCAGCGATCATTGAATGCCCACTTTTCATATATTGAGAAATGAGAACATATACCATAACCCTACGCTAAAGATCTTTCCTTTTTTCCCCCTTCCAAACCCATATGCGTGTGCATATATTGTTAAACCCTAGCTGATTAATAACCCTTTTCAAATTATTCTATATCGTATTAAACCAAAAACAAATCTCTACTCCGAACGACAAGTTCAACAAAATCTTGTCTCATGCACCTGTGAATCATTGTGTAACTAAGACAAAACATTAACAATATACGACGACATACGCAATGATCATTCAAGAAATCTCGCAAGTTTCGGTTTGGGAAGAAAAAACCATGTAGTAAGAGCATCTCATTATCCTGGTGAGCTTACTAGTTCACATGATACGAGAGCTTTAATTACCCATTTTCTCTAAATAGCCTGCCTAAACTGGAGGCTAATTAGGTAGTAAACTCGTAATTAAGTATGAAAAGGGTTGGTTAAGTGGGAAAAGACCAGTTGAAAACAACAACGGTCCACGCACCACCCATATATATATAGATACCAATGTCAACAGCAGACCAATTAGGTCAATATAAATGGCCGTGAAGACTGAATCAATCAAAGCATTAACGAAGTAAAAATCGTACACAATTTCCAGAGAAAAGGATCCATCATTGATAGAAAACAAAAAAAAAAAGTTTCCGACTTTACACAACCTCAAGTTGGCAAGTTCATAACCCATCTTTTAAAAACCTAAACAAAGGGAATTAACCAGCATGCAATTTAGCTTTTATATGATAGCGAAACCACAGCTGACCCAACGAGAATTTGGGTAAAAGTAAAACCCTAACCCTAGCTAGGTAATTAACTCATAACCATGATAAAATGCAGTAATTAATAAGTAAACCCGAATGCAGCTTACAGTGATCAAATAAGGAGAGCAAGTTTACAGCAAGAAGAAGGAGAGATCAATCGAGCAACGAGGAGTAACGATGTCTAGCAGCAGAAGGTAATTAAGAAGCACTAATTATACAGAATATCAGTACTTATATCCCAAATATAGCCATAGTAATTCATTAACCTGATGATTATATAGTAAATAATATCCATACCAAGTCTTGGATACCAAAAAAAAAGGTACAGGAAAAAAAAAGAACATGAAACCCAGAAAGAAGAGAAAAGAAGGAAGGAATTAACGTATAAATATATAGAGCTTTAACTAGCTAACTAATCAAGTTCCCTTCCCCTCTCGATCCCCACCATTAATCATCACCATCAGATGGTTAATTAAAAAAAAGAAGAAGATAATTATAACTAATTAAACCCAAGTCATCACCGCTTAATCACCCAAATGATGATGAGGGGTCCCCCCCGTATCTACACGTACGTCGACCATGATTCAAACACGGTCAAAACGAGAGAAAAAAACCAAGTCAAACGAGAGAGAAAGGCAGAACCTCATCACCGTCTCATCATCCGTTAGCTGTTTCAGAAGCGAGGTGGATATTACATCTCTACCCTCCTCCTCCTCCTCCTCCCTCTCAAAATCTCTGCTCCTCCTTCGGCTCCACCACATTCCCCATCATCTGACACGTCACCATGTCCTGCAGCAGCCCATTGTCTCTCAAAAACGACGCCGTTGTAGTACTTGCGGTGGTGGTGGTGGTGAGAGACGGCGCGGAGTTGTACACGTACGCATTCTGAAGCAGCTGCTGCTGCTGCTGGAAGTGGTGGTGAATATGATGCTGCGGCGGTAGAATGGAAGGATCGGCGGCGAACAAATGCCCGATCCCTCCGCCGCCGCCGCCGGCGAGGAGGCTCCCCCTCGGGGTGATGGGGGAAGGGTGGGTGTGCTGGCCCTCGTACGTCGTCACGACGACGGAAGGGTCGTCGGAGGATCTCTCCACACGCTTCTTCACCCCGCAGCCTGCGCTGGTGCAACGGTAGTAGCTCCTGGGACCCAAAAAAAAAGAGAGGGGAAAGATATTAAATGATGTGGAGAAAGGTGTATGATGATGAGAGGGGATATACAAGTATTTATTGAAGATGATAGGATGCTTGCGACACAAGTAATGGGCAAAAGATCATCATCATCATTTGCATAACAGAGAAATTCATGATGGTGGTGGTGGTGAGCTTGCTGTATAGTAGTACAGCAGTGACACTACTTCTGCTTCTAGGTGAGTAGATCGATGGAGTCGAAAAGCATGGGATGATCGTGGCGGATCAAATTTGTTTTTTGAGAAATTTAGATTTCTGTGGATATAAAAAAAAAAATTTGAATTCGAAACTTTGATTATAATCATAATCTACAGTTTCGGCCGACACACCCGTTCAAGAATTTTGGGTTTATTAGCTAGCTAGTTAATTACCTTGGGTAAGGGCTGTTCTTGACGGCTTTCTGGCCGTATTTTCTCCACCGGTAACCGTCGTCCAGGTGATCAACTTCGCTCTTGGTCATGAACGCGAATCTGGGCTCCCTTTGCTTCTTCTGAGCCTTCGTCTTCTTCGGCTTCAACCTACCCACACGAAAGTAAACAGGAAGGGCCATGATAGCTTAGCTTAGCTTCCACGAACGTGAGAAAAAGACACAAGAGCAATAATAACGGCATAATCAGCATGAGCAGTTCATAGGAGATATAGATTTATTTTGAATTTGAAACCTCTAAAAAAAATCTTGATTACTGTGAGAGAAATTTCAACTTCAACAGAAGCTTCTGGGATGAATTAGTATTTCAACTAGAGAAAAAGGAGAGACGGGGTTTGGTTTAGTAAAATTCACATGACTTACTGTTTCTTTGAGCCGGTGTTGTTTTTGTCTTGATCCTGCTCTTCCTCGCCGTCTTCGTCTTCTTCGTCTCCTCCTCCTCCGGCTTCGGATTTGAGGCGATTCCTGTCTTTGCTACTGTTCTTGCTGTTCCCGCCTTCGTTCGAAGAGGAAGAGATAGACGAATTCGGCGTCGCCGGGTTGTTCACGACTTCCGACGACTCCGCCGCCGCCGGCGACGACGACATCGGCAGATCCAGCTGCTGCACCGTCGTCGAGTTCGCCGCCGCCGACGGGAACGGGCTCTGGAACAGATCGAACAGAGAAGAAGGAGCGGAGTATCCTCCGAAATCGGCTCCGCAACCGCCGCCGCCGCTGGCGTCGAGCAGCTCCATGAATCCTCCGCCGCCGAATCCGCTCTGCGGCGGCGGCGGCATCATCATCTGCTGCATATCGTAGTAGATCCCTCCTCCGCCCGCCGCCGAGAATCCGGTCCCGGGGAGCATAATCTCATCCAGCTCTCCGCCGCCCGACATCGTGAATGCTGAAGAATTATTCGCCCTCTCGCCGCCGCTCCTCGCCATCGATCGATCGCCGGACCGGAAAACGCAAACTCTAGCTAGGATTCTTCTGATGTTCTTCAAATTGCTACGGGACAAGGAGCATATTAGTACGAATTCGAATTCGGATGAGATGGATGGAGCGTATAGAGAAAGGAAGGAAGGAGAGCAGAGAGTGTGAAAAGGGGAGGTGAGTTTGGACAACAGCTTGGAATGCGGAGGTTTCCCAATTGGTTTTATGGAGAGAGAATAGGGGAGAGAAAGAGAGATGGTGGGGGGTAAAATTACAAACCGGCCACTATTGTTTCAGCTTATTCATACACGGGTTATTTTATGGTAGCATTACAAAATGGCCATTACATTTTGAGCTTATTCATAACGGGTTATTTTACCGTAGCAAATTGGTCAAAAAAAGCTAGAAAACCCAACGTAACAGTAATTCAGATAATTTTCATCGACTTCTTTGATCCAAAATCGCATAAATTAGCATATTTTAGCCCAAACAATAGAAGCAGTCACATATAGCCTCGTATTAGCTGATACGGTTAGCTTATTTTGAATATGATGCAAATCAAACACGTCACCTGATCTTATTTCAACCCAAATCACGTCTCAACTACAACTCAGTTGATTCCTCGTTTCTTTCGAGAGCTAAATCTAAAGCTAATGTGACATGTTTTTATAATGAATTTGAGCTATTTGACGGATTGATTTCGGAAGAAGAAGAAGGAAAAAAAACAAAATTATCTACATCGGTTATTTCATACTTTATCGGTTATTGATAGTTCGGCAATCAGTTTGTCAATTCATCCAAAGTTCAGTGATCATTTTGTGAAATAGGCGAGAGTTACATTTGTAATGTACATAGAAACGTAGCGACTGGCATTTGCCGGTCACCTACCCGTACGGAAAAGGGCAGTGGATTAGGGCCGGTGTTGTGCATTAATTGCTCTGGGACCCACAAACGGGGTTGGGTCCAGTCGCTCTGAGTCTGCTCTCTCCTCCGCACCTCACGCGGATGTTTCCACAGGTTGAACCGGTTGCGTGTAAACTTGGGCCTTTATTGGGCGTACACGTGGACTACTCCTCCCCCATTCCATATAGTCGGAATTTGCCGTTATTTTGGGATAGGTCGACGTTACTTAATTTGTGTTTAGTAAACCCCCCCAATTATTTGGTTAGTTGCATTTGCGTAGTATCAATTATGTGGACAATGTATTGTGTACGTATAAGATTTGGAGGGTAAACTAATTAGATTGGCTCTTGTTTCAAAACGAAAAAGCTCTTGGGATTTTGATCTTACATCGAAAAATCTGTATATACTAAAAAGTTCGGTAAGATCGACGGATATTTAAATTTAAATGAGTCTGATGTAATTACACATTATAATTGTTAATAGTATTTTTTGAAAGGTCAATTATAGTACTAGTGAGATATTCTATTATGTACAGTTTTTTTTTTTTTTTTGACCGATGTATAGCTAGCTAGCATTATTAATTTGGATCAACCAAAACACCCACACATTATAAAAATATCCTCTACTCTTAGTCGTAATATTCAAATTGAAAACTTCCCCCTTTTTTGTTATTCAAATCTCAAATGTGAGTTCCCACCACCATAGAATTGAATTGAGCCGAACAGATAGTTGGCTGTGGCTTTTTTTTAAGGCTATTATATCTTAATCATACAACCGTATAGATTTCCTAAGAAACTATATACACCCATCAATAATTTTTCCATATGATTTATTTATCTCATTTTGTAATGAGACCCTCAACTATCAAACACATTTGCTATATCTATCATGCAATTCTCTAAAAAAAAAAATATGTTAACAATCTGTTACGCATATACCCATATTTTAACCTATTTCAACAGTTTCAGCTAGTAAAATGATCATTTATATATCGACAAGATATCATAGTTTTGAATTGAGTTTTTTTTTTTGTAAAAATAAGAAAACGTCGGATCAAAATCTCATATTACGGTCGAATTCTCACGCTGCTCAATATTAGCATGAGTTAATTTCACCACAAAATATAACAAGTTTACGAAGTGCGAATCTCAAATCCGTAAATTAACATTTATACGAGAATACACATAACGAAAATGCCATTAGATTACATTAATAAATATTATCCGAAGATTATCTAAAATCAAAAAACTCTTATCCAACAATAATTAGCACCCTTCACTTTGCACTTTACCGACACACCCATATCTTATTTTCACTAATTCGCTTGGCTTTATCTTAACCCCTTCTTCTGGTGAGCATGTGATGATCGCCGACCAATCGTCCCCCTCCCACTTTTATCATTTCTTTATTTCTTTTTTGTGTTCACTTCGCCGGGCGCGCGGCTCATCGCTAATTATCCCTTTTCAGCAGCGGAATAATCTTTTTGTTTCTACGTGATTACGACGGCAACCAGTTTTTTTTTTTTATAAAAAAACACCATGTCACCATGAAATGACCGATCTAACCCTGCAGATCCCCGGAAAAGCTCGCCCGGGCGGTGGCATTCTCGTCCGGAGCCACTTTCCACCGGCAGCGGGGGTATAAAAAAGAAAAGAAGGGGGGGAAAAGAACAAAAAGGAAAAGTGGGGAAATTACGATCTGCATGCTTTAGATCGGGAAAGTGTCACTAAAAAACATAAAAAGCGGTAACACGAAGAGAGATTAGTGAATAGTGATTTCTTTCCTTATTAATTAAAAAAATTTAAAAAGCGGTGAAAAAACAACCGCGTTGTGAGCGTGCCAGGGAAGCTTCTCGCACGTGTAACTAACCAGAGGCAGAAGAAAAGAAAAAAAGACAGGGAAATTATGAAGAATGCGGGCATGCTGACACGATGTCCACGTCACCTGCTCTTCCACGACAAGCCACCGTCAACGTCGCCACCGTACGTCGGCGACCGTTCACACAGCGGCGTTTTATTCATTCCAGCTACCTTGTTAGCGACACATTGTATAAATTAATACACTAATTACGTAGTTAAAAGCAGTATTTATTAGCTGTCTTGTTTGTTTATTGTTTATATTTTGTTTTCATCCATATACGTTGATATGTATAATTTCCTTTCAACCTTGATTTACGTATCTACGTGACATCTTTGTAGTTAGGATTTCATTTAAAGGGAGCCCATTAAAAAAAGATTATCATAAAATATTTTTGTAACAATGTATGTGATTTTGTATTGTAAATTTTTTTTAAGACTATATTTTTTTTTATGGAATTTTTTAAGACTATATTGATTGTTGGAAATATCCAAATGTCACTTTCAAAATCTAATATCTCCCATAAAATAAGCATTCACAATTTTTTTACATTCAAATTGGTCATTCATTATATTGCTAAAAGTGTTCACTGTGCACTTGTATTAACCATTGATAGCAAGAAAATAAGCAAATACCGTAATGAAAATTAGGAGGGCTGGATAACGATGTCAGTACCTTTCTTTTATCTGAATAGCATAAGATCACTAATTATCGCAAACAGTTAATCCCACAATCAAAGTGTCCATTATTTTAATTAATTATCAGTTTAAAACTAACCCACTCGACGGTGAAACTTCCTTCTCCTTCAATGAACCTAGCTGTTCCTCGAGCAGGAAAAGAACACAACAGCAACAACAACAAAAGTGAAAACGCACTTTGTTGGTCATGTGTTCCCTTGGATGCAATATATTCACGAATCATGGCCATTGGGGATCCCTTTTTACTGTAAAAACGAAGAAGACAAAATCTAATTTCAGCATATCACACGGCATTTGGTCCCCAACTTACAAAGCATGATGTCGTACATTCAATCTTTGTTTGTCCAAACAGCGAAACACCCCTATGAATCAATCAATGCCGAACATTCATATATTCATTATATGTATATCAGAGACGGATCAGGATAATCAACAACATATATAAGAAGAACAATGTTAGCAATAAAGTAAACAACCTACAAATGGTTCACTAACACAATGTTAGAAAGCTCATTGGCGAGAGAGAGCGTCAACTTCGCTATACTTGAAGAGATTACATGTTACAGAGGAGTATGAGAAATATATATAGTACTTCTCCAACGACTTAACCCTAATCCAGTATGGTAAAAGTAAGGTTACAGACCAGGCCCAAAACAGAATCCCAACTTGTCAGCGAGACCCTCGTGATTTTCAGTCAACGACAGATAATCCGATTCAACATGTATATAAGAACGATAACAAACGGGAGTGATGAGAATGGTAACGCCCCGTATAGTGGCGGAGCAAAAAATTGAACAGGGTGGGCTAAATAAGCTAAACTTGAGAACTTTTGAATTGAGGAGGGGATTAAAGCCTTACGAATTATTTTCTACATTTGTTACAAATATTACATGTACTTTTAACTACATTTGAAACTAAATGATGTCTTATGAATGAGTTCAAAACTACATCTAATATTTCATTCGATGTAAGACTTAACATGTATAGGCGGACAAGGAGTTGGTCTGGTGGTTATACCATTAATCTTGAACATGAAGATTCTAAGTTTGAATCGCTTAAATAACATCTAACAATATAAAATGACCTATGTCACTCTTATAAAAAATACTTAGTATACGTATTTTTTTTATATTATTAAAAGGAGATATATATACTTAAATTGCAGCTAATGTTAAATGAATGAAGCGGGGGTTTACTATGGTAAAAAAAAAAAAAGTTAAGTTGCTATTGCCTTGCTTTTATTTAAATTTCCATGCAAAGGGAGACCATAGGCCTCTGTCGTCTTGAACATTTTAAATTTCAATGCACATGCAGTTGACGCGTTTTTTAGTGTATTCTTTTTAGGGAGGATTGCTTCTCATTCACGCCCTCTCCCTCTCTCTAGCTTATCTCGTTCCTTTTCCACCCAATTTTTTATAATCCACCCTTATATTTCTTCCCTTCCATCGATTGGTCCAATATTCCATGGCATCATTGCATGTAAACCTAATCTGATATATAAAGCTACACAAGCTAGCCCGTAAGTATTGTATGATTCCTAATTTGATAATCTCCCAAAATTCTGAGTTATTGAAATCAACTCGTTCTTAATATGTATGGTGTTAAAGTTTTATGACTAAGATGCCTTCTGTTCGAAGCGCGGCGACTTCATTTGTTAAGCACATGACATTCGAATTTGTGCAAACTTCAAACCCTTAGATGGTCGTTTGAGCGGATGTATAAGTAAGTGATATATGATTCATAATTGAATCTCTCCCAACAAT